GTCACACCACTCACTCATTCAACGAAAACAAAACCTTACAATTCAATATTGTATCGCGCGACTGTCTCACTGTTTCTCACGTTTAGAACGTATAGACTTGTAATCTGTTGTTTTAATTTGTTTACAAACTAACAAAGGAACACAAAAGTCTCATCAACCATCGTTTGGAAACATAACAACAACAAAATTCATCATTTTATCAATAAGGATTTTTAACACAATTTTACAACAAATATGAGGTAAGTAAATAAAAAAAAAATATTTTGTTTATTTAAAATATACTTTGAAGTGTAAATTAAAATTGTCCCCCTAAAGTAGGCAACATATTTGTTTTTAGTTGAATGTGTATAAATATCAAATAGATACCAACTAAACACAACACAAAGCCTGAATTTATAACTTGAACTTGATGGCTTGTTTCTAAAATACATATTTTATTGATTTGGTTTATTTTCTTCATATGAAACTGTGTTTAAAAGTTTACATCAAAGTCTTTCCAGTGTTATAGCGTTTAAATATTAGTCGAACTATAAAGTATATTTCAATATCATAATTGGTTCGAGGACTTCAATGATTATTTCTGGCCTTACACAGTGGTGAAGTGGAAAAATATTTTTTGGTATTAAAGCCATGGACTGTCACAGTGAAAATTATCCACTTTTTTATTTTTATAAAAAAAATGTCATAAGTGCATGTTATTCAATATTATTTGTGAACATGAACATCTTTACTTCAAATTAATGCAATAAAATAAACAATATTTATGTGAATTCGATAAGAAAAATAATGATTGGTAAACAGAAGCAATTGCTCACAGTGATTTTTTTGGTTAACTTTTACAGCATTCAACTTTGCCGGCATAGATTTTACCAAGTTTTCCGTGTAAGATGCCTTAATTTGTCCCCATTCTAATTGTAAAGCATTTTCAGACTTGGTATGCTGGGGATGTAGTGTTTTTCTCCAAAATACTCCATAAGCACTCTTTAGATTCAAATCCGGGGTCTGGGTTGGTTTTTGAATCACTTTTGGACATTTATAAAGCATCCATTCTTGAAGGATCTGGGACTTGTGTTTGGGGTCATTTTCAGCACTATATTTCAAAGTTTCTTTTAGAATGTTTAAATAATAAATCATATCCATAATTTCTTCAATAAAATGAGATTTTCTTCGTCATACCTTACTTGGTCCATCCGACCCAAACATGTTAAATTAGCTTTCATATGTAAAAATTACAGATTTCACAAATGCAAATCATTTTTTCTTGTTCCTGAATAAACTCTAAACGGATTTTCCATGCTTAGGCAAAATTCTCAGTATTGTTTCAGAATTACATGTCTTTTCCAGATATTTCTCTGCGATTTCAACAAGTTTAGGTGAACTTAGCTTTGGATTATCGGCCACTTGTCAGATCAACCACTTTTCGTCTCTCACATTGAATATTTTTTCTCGCTGGTTTTCGGCTTGTTGCAAATTCGATTCTCTGTTTTGTTCCTCGGTATAATTTTATGGACAGCAGATCGAGTTATATTGAGTATTTCCTTGATATTTTCCTAGTTCAGCCTGGTGAAGAACTAATATCTCTCGTTGTATGGCCTCCATGGTCTAAAATTCTCACGATTTATTGTATTGTTGTAAAATATTTGCAATATTTGCTGCAATAGCAGCAACAAAAATTTTATCACACCATAACTCAAAAAATGTGATCTCAAAAAAGCCTGCAATAGCAGCAACAAAAATATTTATCATTTATTTCATTCCCAAAAGGATTTTTCCATTGCCAGATCATGAGTTCCATTTTGTCCCATAGTGCTATAGAAGTATTCTCCAACAACTACAACCACTATTCATGTGCTCAAACCAATTGTCGAATCAAAAATGGGGTTTGGGGTTTGACGAAAATCGTTGAATACAAAATGACTTATTTTTGATCCACGTTTTTGCCTTTTCTTATTTATTATTTGTTTCGAAGACTCCAGGCAAATAAATTATGTTGTACCACTTAGAATTGATATCCTACGTTGCTGAAGCAGAATAGCTGCCTTTTTTTGCCATAGAGCCAGCAGCAATAGGCTTCGAAATGCTTCTCCACGAACAACCTTCGGGCTCGACTTTCAAGACCCACGCGATAGATTGATGGTTTTTTTCGGGCTCATAGGCATAAAAAATGTCAATGAATTCCTAAATTCATAGGGGGATCAAACCCAAAATGTTTTAATCTAAACTTTAACTAATTCTGACTTTCTAGAGCGTACAACCGGCCTCAATTTACTTATGTGTATGGCCTTCCCATGTTGGACATGTGGTGGTATTATCCACCCCTCCTTTCAACCTAACCTAATATATTCATAATTTCATTCATAGTTAACTTTTCCATATTGAAAATTCGCCTTGCTTGGAACACAAGTAAATAATTTTATAATCATGAGAAAGCCAATATTGTTATCATTAATAACTTCGCTCTACATTACACTTACTTTTCTGTCGCTATCCTTTGTTTTGGTATCCTTCTCCGCCTCTCTCCTTACTTGGTAGTTTTTGCAACTATTTATTTGACTACTTTTTCTGTTTCACAAACCGCCTACTTTCCACTCACTCGATTGTGACTAGTTTTGCATTCCGTTGTTTATATCGACCTCTGCATTGGTGTTACAAAATTCGCATATGTATTTTCCAAATTATTTCGATATAAATGATAAATGCAATATATCAAACAATTGTTGATACGAACAACAATCCCAACCGAATGCTTAACATTCTATATGATTGCTCTAACGACGCATAACATGAACATGTAAATAAATAAGAAAAAATGAGCCAAAACATAATGAAGAAGAAAACATAACATCAAAATAAAAAATTAAATTAGAAACTCGAAATTCCAAAGTTGATTTTTCACGACGATATTTAAAGATTTATGAATTGCATTCAAAAATTGCAGAAATCCCGACATTCATATAATATATGAATTATTTTCTGTGTAGATCAGTGGTTTGTCACCTGTGTCGATTTTATTTATTTGTCGACTACGATTGCATTCACAGTTTTCAGAGTGTTGTATGATGGTGTTTCATCGCCATACAAATATTAAAGTTCATTGATGCACTCTTGTTGTAGTAATCCACTTCGAATGTTGTGAAAAAGGATTGCACAAAAATGTTATGTTAATTTTTTGTTGCCACTGTAAACGATACAACACATGGTAGTACGTCAAACCATCAAAAGTTGTTAGGTTTACCTCAAAATAACGACACACTATCCCTAATCTGTGTAAAATGCGATTTTTGCCGAAGAATGAATATCAGGACTGTTGGTGTGGATTATCGCCAACGTCTACCATTCAAATTCTTGAATTTTATTATAAATAACATATTTTCAATTTAAATGTTGTTACCGTTAGAAATGTGTCATTAATTTTCTAAGAGCTCTTAAAATGCTTACCCATTTGTTTGCTTTTGGTGCCGCTCTAACGATTACTTAGTGTTTTGGGAATACTGATGGTATGGTGTATTGTTTTCTATACAATCGAAAAAAGTAGCGGTACCTTGGAGGTAGGTGGTCGGTATTTGCTAGTAATAGTTTTGTTCTAGAGCATCATCAAATAAAATAGCATATATGAAGAGGTTGTGCGTTTTTAGTTCAAGGACGTTCATGTTGTCGTCGTACACATACTACGTATTTGTTGAATATTTCGTGCCTTTTCCATTTTTTCCTTTTTGTTTTTGAGTACTCGTATGTACTTCCTTCCTTCCACCGCTTCATGTATGCATTCATATTTGTTGTTTTTTTTTTGTTTCATTTCTTTGTGCACAATTTTTGTTTAGTTTTAGTTTTTTTCAGAGAAATTTGTTACTCTTTTTTTATTGCATGCAATTGTTTTTTCTGCTGATTCATAAAAGGAAATTTTTGTGTGAATGGGTTTTCCCAATTGTAAACTGTTGCAATTTGCTTAGAATCCTTTGGTATGTTTGTGTGCTTCTTACATTCTCACATTAGTGTTACACAAAGGATTTTTTTGTTGGTGTATTGGTTACCAAGTAAAATTGACTTTAAATTTGTGCGAGTACAGTTTGACGTAACACCATGTGTTGTGTTGTTCACAGTGTATTGATTTGCTAAAAAAAATGGATGGAAGTTTCCTCAAAGATTTCAGGTCTAACCACTACGCCACGTTTGATGAAAAGTTAGACATTTTTTTTAGCATAAATGTACGCGGTACACGTACCACAATGTGTTGTGTTGTTCACAGTGCCTCGAACAATGAATTTAAATAGAAATTATTTAAAAAATAGATGGCAGTTCCACCGAATTTTTTGATAAAAACAATAAATTTGAAAGCTTTATTCTCCCAAGAGGAGTAACCGGAGATAAAGGTTTCCCATGCTAGTACTTTGATAGTCTTGGGTACATTTTATAATTACACAGAATAAAATAATTCGTATATTCGCAACATGTTCCGAAAAAGATGATTAATGAATGTGCAAAATGTGAAATCGTGGAAAGTGCGCTCCAAGTGTGTTCAATATGTTCCAATAAAAAAAAACATATGTTTCAATAAATTTGAAAAAAAATTGATAGAATTGATAGAAACAACCTCCTATGTGTACGACAAAAGAGCAATGTGAAAAAGTTGATTCATGAATTCGTGAAATTTTTGATGACGCCCATAAACAAGTGGAGCATGGATCTTGTCAACATCGAGCTCCAAGGTCATTATTAAAAGGACTATTGGAAATCTTCCAGGCCTATTTTTATTTTGATCATATGGTGGTTGACCAGTCCAAAAATGTTACGCGCTGTTTTTGATAAACGAACTGTTAAAAAAATTATCGTTTTTTTAAATATTTGTAAAAACACATTAAATATTACTTCAGCGTTCTTTTTCACATCCCCCTCTAAATGAAATGCAAGGACCCTGACTGACCACCTAATTCAAAAATTCAAAGCGAAATTATTTATAGGCAACGATAGATGGCAGTTCCACCGACCGATCAACTACTTACTTGCATAAAACCATAGTAGATGGTGGAATAAAATCCATGAAACTATTAACGAAACTAAAACAAAGACTAATCGCGGAAGATGAAACTGCTTAGTGGAAGCCTTATCCTCTGGAGAAAAAAGTTTCCCATATTAGATACCTTGAATAGTAATACATGAATAGTATTCAAAAAGTGTTGTCAATGTCGGGATTTCTGCATTTTATGTATGCAATTCATAAAATTTTAAATACTGGTTTCTTGTCAGAGAGAGAGAGAGAGAGTGAAAAAACAACTTTGGAGTGTGTGTTTGGTGGTGTCGGCCGGTCTCTATGGCACAGAATTTGTGGTTTTATTGTTTCTATTTGATTTGATGTTTTCTTCATGTCTTGTTTCATTTCTTCTTTTTTACTAAAAAGTTCATATTCTGTAGCATTAGGTTGAGCATATACTACTATGTTGAAACTTTCGGTTCGACTTGTTCTTCGTATCAACACTTATTTGATATATAGTATTTAGCATGTATATCGAAACAATTTGGAAAATTCATATGCGAATTTTGTAATGGAGAGGTCGGTTAGAGTATTTTAAACAAAGAAACAATGGAATGTAAATCTAGTCACAATCGAGTGAGTGGAAAGTCGGCGGTTGTTAGAAACAGAAACAGTGCTCAAATAAAAGTTTGCAAAAATATGAAACCCAAGTATGGGGACATGCGGAAAACGATACAAAAAACAAAACAGTCGAACAATGAATGGTGGTTGTGTGATGTTTTTTATTTCTTGAGAGGAATACATACATAGAGAGGAAAAATGAGCGCAAATAGTGGTATAGTAGAGCAAAGTAGGGAAATTGTTGTAATATTAATGAAATGTTTACATTTTTGGAAAAATAGTGTCTTTCTCATGATTATAAGAATTTTTACTTGCATTGAAAGCGAGGTACATGTACAATACTGAAAAAAAGTAATTATGAATGAAATTATGAAAATGTTAATTAATTTTTTTTTACGCCTATGCAAAAAATTATGAGGTCTTGACAGAAATGAATATCTTGATATTTCCAAGTTATTAATCAAAATGTTGTACCAAAGTGAAAGAAATCTCCTGGCAGAAAATGTGATATTTGTTTAGACAAATCTCCAATTTTCATAGTTTCATTTTCACAAGATTATTAATATCCTTCACATCGATATCCGTTCATCATAATTTATTTATACTCTCAGTTTAGCTTGCTAAATTTTTGTTAAACTCATTTGAAATTAAGACCTTTTGTATCCAGTGTTAAATTGGGAACACATGCCCTGTCCCAACAAAAATCATTTTCAAGTAATATGGAAATTTCCTTACTCGTTAGGTTACATACCTCATTCATGGGATTAACACCATGAATTAATTTTCCGGTATTCAATCTTCATTTTGTGCAAAAAGAACACGCAGAATATCAATCATTAATCAGATGCTGATTTTTTAAGCCTCCGACGCGCGACAAACATGTACTCATTGACAGCGTCGAGATTTCTTCCTCCTTAAAATACTTGTCCTTTGACATTTGAATCCTGTAATCATCATTGTTATCGTCCGTATTTTTACCTTCAATTTCGTTTAAATTACCCCAAAAAAATCTAATGCTAATTTGTTTTTGTTTTCCTTAGTATTCATCCTTAATAAAACTTTAATGGTGCTACACACAACACAAATTCGCTTTAGACACTTCAAACTTGTTTTTTGACATTTATTATTCTTCTTCTTCATTTTCGCCTCTTCATTTCATTGTTTACATTTTGTCACTCAAGCATTGTTAATTTCTGGTTCTGTTTCTCTGCCACTAAATGATGTGTGTAGAATGGAGGATATGTCGAAGGAGGGAGGGAGAGGAATTTGAAGTGTGGTAGGCGGCAGCGAAGGAGTGAGGTTAGTAGTGATATTTGCTTTTCGTTTTAAGTTCTGTTATTATGACCCACTCACAGTAACATTGGGTGAGGTCGGTCGTTCGGCCAGTCTGTCTGCCTGCTCCACCCTCTTAAGGATGTTGGCATTTTCTCATGTTGGAGTCTTTTATTTTTGTTTTTGAGGGGGTGGTGGTGTTGTTGCCGTGCAAAGTAATCACCATCATCAGCATGGCCATCACAACATAATGTTGTTGTGTGGAATATGTTTTTCACCACTCGTAAAAAAGTGCGAACAGAATATATTACGACATCTCATACATACCAATATTACATAGATTACACTGAGAGAAAAATTTTAAAGGTTGAACCGTTGTAATGTTATCTGTGAGACTATTTTAAGGGTCTGATCTCAATAATAACATGTCTGTATCATTTCTATCAATTGGAGGGAGAAATGCATAAAAAATATGATGATTTTTGTAGGTGAATTTGACATTTGCTTCAAATTAAGTCTGAGCTTAAGTGATGGTCTCTTGATTGACGAAATTTTCTTTTCTTATATTCATTAAGGTCTATGAACAGAAAAATTTCGCCGGGGATATGGTCAGCTATTAGAAAACAATTTTATGAATGTTGCCTTCATTTTCACTGAATTGTGATGCTTTTATGCAATGCTTCGGTTTTTTAATGATTTTTTAAAACTCTTTCGAGTTGGCATAGTGCACCGACGGCTCCAGGTTTCAATTTCTAATGTAGAGGGAAATTTCTTTCAAAGTGGTTTTCGAATATTTGTGAAATGAGCTAAGCCTCTTCGAGTCCCCTGATATTCTAATAACCAACCATGGCATCAACTCATGAGGATAACACAAGATATGAATGGCGGGAGATAGCGCCACACAGATGAGAATGGCTACACAAAATAGACAAAGTCCCGACAACTGCCCAACAATTCATGGAGGTGTTCTAGGGAACGAAATATGACAGCTCCATCACCTAGGACAGGCTACAGCAGGTGAATTATCCTGTTCCGAATCGCCTGATATTCTAATAACCAATCTTGACATCAACTCATGAGTATAACACAAGATAGGAATGACAGGAGATAGCGCCGCCCAAAGGAGAATGACTACACTAAATAGGCAAAGCCGCGAAGCAGAACGTGTTCTGGAAATTTCTGCGTTGTTCTGGTAAACTAGGTTCGAATCCTAGATAGTTTTGCCTGTGATCATTTGAGTGATTTTAAAGTCAGTTTTTTTATCTTTTTTTATTTTTGATTGTTTTCCACTGTAAACAACGTAACACATGGTGGTAGGTCAAACCATAAAGAGATGGTTTATGCTAAAATATTTTATATTATCGGACTAAAAAATTGACAAGTTAATTCTATTTTATTTTTTGGCAAATTGAATTTTCATGGCGCTCCAAACAACACAACACAGGATGTCAAAATGTCAAACTTTCTTATAGAAATTTCAGATGTCATTGGCAAAATTGTTGCCTCGTCAAGTGTCGATTTATCCAATATAAGCTAATTCTATCTACGAAATATATCATTTACATAACCTGTTCAATTTTTACTTAAAAAACAAACCTTTTATAATATCGATTTTTTAAATGGCTTTTCACCAAACATTTTTCTTTGAGTGTAACCAAACATTTGCTCCAATTTTTATTGTTTTATTAAATAAAGAAAAAAATACCCACCATCATATATCCATTCATTAATCCTTGGGGAATAGGGATGGAGGCAAATGGGAGAGGTAGTTAGTTTATTTACGAGCAAACAAGGTGTGCGTGATAACACTCGGTGTAATGTCGTCTCGTTCGAATGGATGGATATCGTTCTTGTTGATTCTCCAGTGACATAAAACTAAACTTTTTAAATTAATTTTTTGTTGCGCAGGCCGGCAGGCTGGCAGTTTTACTTTTGCCGCCACCAACACACAAATTCGATTCTGTTTATCTATTCCATAGTCGCCCCTCCATACGTTCCATGATGATGATTCTATCCCCCCTCCGTATACATTATCATTGGTTGTGTTTGTCTGATTGCCTGCCTGCCAGTCGGCCTGTCGGATTTGTTCCAATTGTAAAAAAAATCGGAATCGAAAGAAAGAGAACTCCACTATCACCACCCTACCAATTGAAATGAGAGGAGATTTTTGTAAAGGGATGTTATCTGGTCGGTGGTAGGGTCGGTTGTGGGGATGGCTGAATATATCACCACTTCACTCCAGGAAATTGTGTTGTGTCGAGTCGAGGGGGATGGATGGCAGTGTGTGTGTTCGTTTGTGTGAGAGTTCGGGAGTTTTGTATTGAAAAAGAGAAGAGTTTTGCAAAAAGCATGCCAGGCAAATACATCGAATAACAGACCGACTGTCAGCAGGCAAGCAGCAGCTCTGTAGTTACTGTTGTTGTTGGTGTTCTGGCTGTAGCTGTCTCTGCTCAAAACGCGTGCCACCACATTTTCCATGGAGTTTTGTGGGGAAAATGAGTAAGAAAATTTCGCTCATTTTAAATGGGCAACATTTGTCGACAAGAACAGTAAGTTCTGGTATCTTTTTCATCATTTACCATTCGCCGTGTTTTCGTTCGTTCGCCTCGCCTGTAGTCGGCGTCTTCTTCTTCTACTTGGGGCTTTTTAGATTATTTTTCTCTACTTTAGGGCGGTGGTGTTTTGTGCTAAAGAAAAAATACATATAACAAATATATAAAATATTTTCTACAAAAGAAGAAATTAGTATTTTCTGTGATAAATAAATGAAATGTAGTGCCATTATGCAAAAATTAGCAATATTTTCATAACAGCAACAAAATGGAAAAAGTGTTGACCTGACGACCATCACTGTCACTCGATAATGAAAAGATAACAAAAGCATGTTGTTTGACCGTTTATAATTTTCACGGTATTTTCTCAATTATTTTTCGGGGAATGTTCTTTTGTGTGTGATATTGCCGTCGTAGTGCTAATGAATGAAGAAAATTCGTGCAAAAAGTGTGTTGTTTTATGTGGCATTTTTTGGCGTGACAGTGACAGTAAAAAAAATGTTGTGGTGATACAGTGGAACGTGTTTATCTTAAATACCACGACACGCACTATACAGGAAAGGAGTGTACGAATTGGCCTGCCCGGATTATTTTTTCTAAATGATGGAATTTGTTCGAAAAGTGCGACATTGCATTGTTTGTTCGCGAGATAAAAAGTAATAAAAACAGACACTCACGTATTTAACATTTTCAAATAGTTTAGATTTTGTTAGCGGCTATGAAAAAATTCAATCATTTGCTCTCAAAATGCACAGAGTTCATTGGATGTCATGAACCTATAAATGTTATCAACAGCTTTTTCCTGTTTAATGTGGCACATGGGGTGGTGGCTACTACAAACTTTATTAAAAAACGCTTTAGAGTGTGGGCAGATGATTGTGTAAATCCTTTAACATTTCAAGGGGACCTAACTACGTCATGTCTTTTAAGCAAAATAAATAATGTATAGGCGTTATGATGGTCCATTTTGTTCTCTCACAAATTCGGTTGTTTCTACAAAATGTCCTAGCGAAAATTTATGACGTACTATGTCCCAGAAATCCCTGAAAATTGTGAGAAACATTAGCCCCAATCCCATTTATCACCAGTTATGACCTGTTGACGAAAGTTGAGTTGAGGAATGTTGAGGTTAATTCCCTTGAAGCGAGTGGGACTATTTACATGAGAGCTATGGCATGGTGAATTTTTTTCTCGAGAAGATTTGACACCCAATCGTAAATCGTGCCCAAAATGCCGAATAATAAGGAAACTGTTATATAGGGCACATTCCGAATCTTCTACGCAATGATAATCCAAAAAATACCGCATATTAATTGGGGCCATACCAAAACTTGTTCTGATATAGCCCATGTTCATAGGAGTAGTAGCAATGTTTGTGCAAGTTGAGTTGAGAAATGTTAAGGTTGATTCCCTTGAATCGAGTGGGACTATTTACATGAGAGCTATGGCATGGAGATCTTTTTCTCGAGAAGATTAATTGGGGCCATACCAAAACTTGTTCTGATATAGCCCATGTTCAAAACCAAACTTCCTAGGAATAGTAGCAATGTTTGTGCCAAATTTTAAAGTTCTATCATAGATACTGTGAGCTCTATCGTGACATGGCTACATCAACAAAGAATTTTATTTAGATCAACAATATTTTTTGTTTATTTGAATTTTGCTTGTCAGGGCGATGATCATTAGTATGAGTTTTTTAAGTCAGTTTTTTTCTCTATCGACTCGACCTTCGTGATCGAATTTTTGCAATTTGATAAGGAAAGCTAGGGAAAGAATTTACGTATCCACCATTATGTGACGCGTTTCGCCGTTGGTTAAGCGGCTCATCAGTCATTTTGGGCTATTTGGCTTTACAAAGGTGGTATGTTGATAACTTTTATTGTATTTTATGTCACAGTTGATGCGAAATTGCATCTGCGAATTAAATTGAAATTTGTCAAGGTTTGACATTTGTCTTTACTCGAGAAACAGTCCTTTTCAAAGCAAATGTTTGTTGTAGCAATGGATAATTAATTCGCACAACATCTACAATAGCTGCCATGGTATACTCATGTTTTTTGCGCAACCTTTTCGGAAGTGAATTGATGGATCAGAACGCTAAGTCTGGTCTGACATCATTTGTGTTGCTCTAGGAACTTAGATTCGAACCCTAACCGTGCTCAGCTATAAAAATAATTTGTATTTATTTGAATTTGCCTGTAAGAGCGATGATGATTTGAATAAGTTTTAAGTCAGTTTTTTTCTCTTTCGAGTCGTAGAAGAATCTATTTATGGGGTCTACAGTGAATACAACGAGCTGTTGCAAAACATTGATGCTTTGCGTAAACTGATAATGCCAGATCGTCATATGGCATACCCTGATATAGAGGCATACTTGGAAATTTCATTCACCAGCATACATTCGATATTGAATGAACATCTGGCCTTACGAAAATGTTTGATCTCTATGGATACCGCCCGAAATCGTAAAAAATAGGTGTCGGTTAGTGTAAATTCTTGAGATGATTTTTCTAACATCGTCATATGCAATAGATCGAGTTGCGCCGGCGAATATGCACTTCTAAACAAACGTTTATTAACTTGTGACGGTAAATTCTGAGTGGTACACCACAATTCCCCTGCTTGTCTTCAGAGAAGTTCAAAGACACGAAGACGAATCATTCTGCACCATGGCAATTATTCATCTTCCTTTGTTCGATTCAATCTAGCATCTTTTTTACTGACCACAATGTAGAATTGGAAAAATAGCTTAGACAGTTGGTTTTTGAGTACATAAATTTGTAACAAAATATTCTTATTTTCATTATTAGGTCCTTAATATATGTAGTAGCTGTCTAACCTACCCACAAATTCATAAAACATTGTTATTTACGTAATTTTCAGCTCATGGTTAGTTCACATGTCTGTCATATAAATTGGTAATATCCGTCATTTTGACAGATATCAATTTGACAAAATCAATCATGGATTTTGCACAATGATTTGTGAGATGAAGAGTCACACATCGATGATTGTGCGTAAATATTTGATCAAAAACAAATCTGATTCACGGCTCAAATACCGCATTCACCGCACTTGACCCTTGCTGACTTTTTAATCTTCCCAAAAATTCAAAATTCATGTTTCAGAGGATTGGAAAAAACGCAGGCATAAATGTATTAATTCTGAGTGAATTACTGCGAAGGGAACAGGGCAGTTATTGTGAAAAAATTAATGATTTCGAATAACTTTAAAATATCGGTTTTTTGATGATCAGAAATCGTATTGTTATTGTACACTTTATTTTTTATTAGTGTACCCAATGACGATGTAAATATGTCGGAAAAAAGTGTTCCGCTTACCTTTTTCAAATGTTGTCATCTAGGGATTATTTCAAAATCATTCATATCAATGTAATCTTCATATTATTTGGAAGACAAAATGTTTGTTTAATTCCTGAACCTGTCGGCGGGCTCATGCTGTTTTCAATTTTTCGTATTATCTATGAGGTCGATGATCAATTTTTCTTTGAATGTTAAGGTTAAATTTTTAGGAAATTGAAAATCGGAAACATTTTCTAAACTCTTTAAACAATTAAACATATAATTTGTAATTTTGGGCAAAATAATTAATTACTTTTTTATTTTTTTCTTTCTTTTCAGGTAAGTGGCTTTAAAATTTAAATATTATGTGCCAGAGTGAGTTATTATATTAATTTTATTAAACTTAATCTATGAGATAAAGAAGTATATAAGTTTTGTCGATTTGAATTTTTTATAAAACACGTCAAATTTTTGAAACACTTAGATCTTTAAATATCAAATTATACAGTTGGGACGTTCCGGAACGAACTAGATCATTGGAACTATTCTGCAAAAGGAACGATCGGTACTATACCCGGTCTTTCCTATAGTTTCTTTTGTTACAGTAGTTCCTGGTTGCTCGCTTTTTCCTAGTTCCTTCTGCCACAATTGTTCATTTAGTTCCACAAGCTCATATATTTTTAATTTTCAGTCTCATCAATTCATGCAATAATAGTTGTCTTTCTCTTTTAAGAGTGATATTTAAGAGTAATATTCCATAATAGAAGCACAAATTAAATGTTGGAGGAAACGACAGTAACGTTTTTTATGTATCTTTTAAAGACCAAGACGAAGAAGAACGATATGAATGTACTAATGAACTATACCAATGAACGATTGAACTAATTGAACTATGGGACCAAATGAACGACCTAGTTCATTCTGTGAAGTGAAACGCTTCAGGAACCTAAAACTATTGTTTTTTGTTTAATTTCCTTTAATTTATTCTTTGAGTGAAAAATAGATTTTGATTTGAACATTTCTCTTGCCATGTGTACCCATCAACAGCTGCTGCATATATTCTCCCGTTGGCAAGGGGAGTATTTTGAAATGAGATTCAGTCAGAATTAGGTTTCTTACAATTATGTCATGCTTAAAGAAATATAAAATAAAAATATTAAAATTATTTAATCACCAAATCAATGGATATTGTAACTTACATTATATGGACAACTGTGATTCAAATTCGTATATCCCGACATAATATCAAGTAATATTTTTGCGACGACATTATATTTCGCATTGCTAAGCAGTTTACAAAGATCCACGGTTTGATTGTAGAAAAATGGTTTATAACCATTGGCACGCTTGAAGAAACCCATTTCCATCTAAAAACACATTTAAATAAAAATTCCTTAGTTTTTTAATTCTTGATCTTTATTTTATCTCAAAAACTTACAAAAATATCCGGTAATGGCTGCAAAACGTTAACACTGATATTCATACCAACCACACCACGTCGTATGAACTTCAAACGACACTCACTAAATTTGACAACGCTTTCATTTAAGGATTTACATTGTAAATTTGTCAACTTTACATCAACACCGTCGATAACATTTTGGTATGTTATTAAAATATATATTAAGAATAGAACCGAATTTGTATACGAATTCATAGTTGTGTCGTTGCTCGGCGTTGGAATTACAACTAAATAAATGAAACTCATCAGTATTTAATAATTTATGTAATTAAGAACGGAAAATCACGAGTCTAATAAGATCTCTATCTATAATAATATAATTTAACTAACAAAACATATCAGCAGATTATGTAAATTATGCAAATTAATCGAATGACCGTATCGGTAATAATTTCGTTCGGGCTGTAATTTGAATTCTGTCATCGAAGATTTTTTGGAAATTTCGAAAATTGGCTGTCCTACGTTCACGATAGCTCCACTTATTGTATCTTTGTGATAATGAAATTCGCGTGGCCCCAAAGGATGAAATCGCAGGGCGTTAAAAAACATAATTTCAATGGCCAATTGTGATTACCTTTGTGAAGGATCAAACAATCCGGAAGCTTTTCCCGTAACGTTTAACATCATCTAGCGTCGTCTTATAATAATTAAACGTTGTCCAGATTAATAATGAAAAAAAGTAAGGTCCAATGAACACCCCGGATCATAAACGTCACCAAAAATTACACTTTGAGGATGAAAAGGCTTTTAAACAACAATTCTTGACTTTTTATTAGCCCTGAGTTATAGAGTTACACACCGAGTTGGAAATGGACCTCATCAGGCAAGATGTTTTTTCTATAGAATCTCGGATCATTTGCATTTCAGGGACCTAATTCGAAAAGACAGATAAAACTGTGTGGAAAATTCCTATTGGAATGAAAGACCTTGGTGAATACATGAAAACCCCAGAAGGAAAAATACACCATGGATCAAAGTTAGGAGATATGGCATAATAATTTTTTGCTAGCGACAATTATACGTGAAGAGACAACTTCATATCTTGATTTGAAACCAATGTATGAATTTTTTTTAAATTTCTGCATGTATAATACGGTCACCAGCAACAAATTATCATGCCATATGTCCTTTGATCTATGGTGCATTTTTCCTTCTGTATTTTGGGCATAGATATATTTTTTATCCTCCACGAACCTTTAATTACAAATTATAGCTACTTTGGAGGTAAATGCGGATAATACCTTCAAAATACCGAACATGAGGTGGAGCCTATATATCTGGGGCTATGTCCAAACATGGACCTGTATTCAGAGATGGCCTGTCAGAAACAGTGACGTAAATGACATACATTTCCGACGTATAATACATACGTCAGAAACGTCGGAAACCTACCCAAATCCATTAGGTTTTTGACAAAATAGATATTTCCATTGATTAATTTGGAAATTACGCATGCTTCACTCAAATCCATATAAGATTTAAAAATTTTTTTCTCAAAAAAAAAAAAAAATAGAAATATTTATTAGTTCTAGTAAGGAATAGTCAGATACAAGTAAAAATAATATATATTCTTGAAAATAACTGTATATGCTGATAATATTGATATAAATGACGTTTACTACATTTATTACATTTTATACAAGTATATGACGTTTTCGACGTTTACACCTTTTTGACAGTCGAAAACCTAAAAATTCGTACACGGACCATCCCTGCCTGTATTAAATAATTTCTGTAAAAATGTATTTCCAACCTCCAAGAGCCCGGGAAGTCAAATTAGAGCCATTGCAGTATCAAACTGCTACTAAAACCTTAAAAGAATCGAATATGGGGAGGGACCTTTGTGTGGGGATAATTTAAAAGTTCGACCTTAAAAAAATCTACAAAATGGTTGTTCAATCTCCAAGAACCCGGAATAACAAACTACAGACCCTTTGGTCGGAGTATGCAGTTAAAATTTTCAAATTCAACGGTACCTTTATATATGGACTTATGCCTCAAAAAATTCGCCATGCTAATTTGTTTAGGACCTTTAAAATACCGAATCGGTGGCATTACCGATATTGGTACTGTGACAAAACTTGAACATGTACCGAAGTTGCACTTGCGGTTAGATAACTTTTAAAAAAGGTGAATATGTCCAAACCCGGACTATATTGAATGTTTATACTAGAGGTGTGCAACGAAAAAATTCTCAGAGAACAAATGAGAAGCCGCCATATGAAATGACTTACTAAAAGATAACGCAGAGAACGAACCTTTTTATACATGGAAACAAGGTCAACAGTTTCCATGGTTGAATTGGAGTCGATTTACAAATGTCTGTCTGGCCGGCTGGTGCGCAAACTTAGTTCAATGCGAATAATAAAACCTGTGTGTAATTCCGAAGACATCCGCAAACCATAGGCTAAGGATATGTATCTGTGGGCAAAACCGACTGACACATTTTTTGCAAAAATGTTTTTCACTCTCCAAGAACCTGTAAGTAACTTCGTTGGGAAAATGGGATTGTACCGTTATATGATAGCTATAAAAAAGGTTGACGATATTTATACGCTTTAGTATGAAGATCAAATTATAACCAATTGGTTTGAAAGACGTACCCAAATAAAGATATTTAACTCTAAGCTGTTTCCAAATCTTGTTCTGAATATCCTTGAATGGAAAATAAGACCGCCCAGTAAAAAAAAAATTATATTTCTACTTGAATCAACTCAGAAATTATTTATTTGGATTAAAAAATCATGTTAAAAATTAGATGCTTGAGCATTGGTGTATACGAGCATTTCGTGAACTCTTCAAAATTCTTTTATTACAACGTTAATATATTCTTCAATAATTATACATATTACTGAATACTATATGCTATGCCTGATTCTCAATCTTTGCGTGTAAAGTATATTTTAAGACCCACAATTCGGTCCGTATGTGTTCCAATAAATAAATTGATCATATAATCTCCCGAAGGCAATGGAAGGAATTTGAATTTTTCTTCTTTCAATATAAGATTCTCCACATGTATGTCGTGCTAAGTTCGTAAGAAAAGAAACAAATGAAAAATATTAATAAATATTGAATTGAACGAACACAACTGCAAACATTTCCAGCAAAAAACTTATTGGCTTTTTTAGCTTTGAACGTCTGTGTTTGAAAACAATGTCAAAATCATAAAACCTTTTGTTTCCTACGTGGTCTTTGTGATCATGTTCCACTATTTATAAATATTGATAAAACCAAAAATACTTACATCATACGGACATGTGTGATTCAAATTGGAATATTCTGTAACAACATCCAGTAGAATTTTCGCCACAACATTTTGTGCCTTCTTTGCCATCAATTCACAAAAATCCACTGAGATATCGAACAAGAATGGTTTATAGCCATTGGACTTTTTGTATAAACTGGCATCAACCTAATATAAATTACATAGGCATTTCTTATTAAAATTGTTACTATAAATTTCCAATATGCTCAGTTTTAGGTTTCTTACAATTATGTCATGCTTAAAGAAATATAAAATAAAAATATTAAAATTATTTAATCACCAAATCAATGGATATTGTAACTTACATTATATGGACAACTGTGATTCAAATTCGTATATCCCGACATAATATCAAGTAATATTTTTGCGACGACATTATATTTCGCATTGCTAAGCAGTTTACAAAGATCCACGGTTTGATTGTAGAAAAATGGTTTATAACCATTGGCACGCTTGAAGAAACCCATTTCCATCTAAAAACACATTTAAATAAAAATTCCTTAGTTTTTTAATTCTTGATCTTTATTTTATCTCAAAAACTTACAAAAATATCCGGTAATGGCTGCAAAACGTTAACACTGATATTCATACCAACCACACCACGTCGTATGAACTTCAAACGACACTCACTAAATTTGACAACGCTTTCATTTAAGGATTTACATTGTAAATTTGTCAACTTTACATCAACACCGTCGATAACATTTTGGTATGTTATTAAAATATATATTAAGAATAGAACCGAATTTGTATACGAATTCATAGTTGTGTCGTTGCTCGGCGTTGGAATTACAACTAAATAAATGAAACTCATCAGTATTTAATAATTTATGTAATTAAGAACGGAAAATCACGAGTCTAATAAGATCTCTATCTATAATAATATAATTTAACTAACAAAACATATCAGCAGATTATGTAAATTATGCAAATTAATCGAATGACCGTATCGGTAATAATTTCGTTCGGGCTGTAATTTGAATTCTGTCATCGAAGATTTTTTGGAAATTTCGAAAATTGGCTGTCCTACGTTCACGATAGCTCCACTTATTGTATCTTTGTGATAATGAAATTCGCGTGGCCCCAAAGGATGAAATCGCAGGGCGTTAAAAAACATAATTTCAATGGCCAATTGTGATTACCTTTGTGAAGGATCAAACAATCCGGAAGCTTTTCCCGTAACGTTTAACATCATCTAGCGTCGTCTTATAATAATTAAACGTTGTCCAGATTAATAATGAAAAAAAGTAAGGTCCAATGAACACCCCGGATCATAAACGTCACCAAAAATTACACTTTGAGGATGAAAAGGCTTTTAAACAACAATTCTTGACTTTTTATTAGCCCTGAGTTATAGAGTTACACACCGAGTTGGAAATGGACCTCATCAGGCAAGATGTTTTTTCTATAGAATCTCGGATCATTTGCATTTCAGGGACCTAATTCGAAAAGACAGATAAAACTGTGTGGAAAATTCCTATTGGAATGAAAGACCTTGGTGAATACATGAAAACCCCAGAAGGAAAAATACACCATGGATCAAAGTTAGGAGATATGGCATAATAATTTTTTGCTAGCGACAATTATACGTGAAGAGACAACTTCATATCTTGATTTGAAACCAATGTATGAATTTTTTTTAAATTTCTGCATGTATAATACGGTCACCAGCAACAAATTATCATGCCATATGTCCTTTGATCTATGGTGCATTTTTCCTTCTGTATTTTGGGCATAGATATATTTTTTATCCTCCACGAACCTTTAATTACAAATTATAGCTACTTTGGAGGTAAATGCGGATAATACCTTCAAAATACCGAACATGAGGTGGAGCCTATATATCTGGGGCTATGTCCAAACATGGACCTGTATTCAGAGATGGCCTGTCAGAAACAGTGACGTAAATGACATACATTTCCGACGT